ATGTAACATTCCACTTTGACACCGTTGGGAGTCCCCCTTCCGTGTCTTATGTTACTTGGGGTGTATTAAGAAGGCTATACCACTTGTAACAATACTATTACACTGGTTAGCGATCTTTCTCCTGAAACCAATCCGATAGCACAGGAATTAAGAAGCAATATCGATGAATTTATCTATATGATTGACCAACCAACTGTGACCGAGGATGTATTGACCAATGAGGGCATTATTGAAACAGTGTTGGATGAATTTCGTGAAGAAGAGGAGGAGGAGAAGGATGACGATGATGATGAACTACTCCCACTTCCAATAACCATGACTGAGGCCATTGAGGCATTAGAAAAGGTTATAAGATACCAGGAAAGTCTTGAGGCTGGAAATAGGTTTGATGAAAATGGGTTAATTATGTTGCGAAAAAGACTCAAAGAATGGAGATCTGAAAAAGAAAAAGCTAAAAAACAGTCTTCACTTTTATCTTTTTTTAGAAATACTAGTGCTGTATTCTAGATTTTTTTTTTTTTTTTAATCTTATTTGTACGTATATATATTATTTGGTTAGCTAGGACATCGGAAGTATTCTAGTTATAGAAATAAAGGGCAATTTGCTTAAAAAAAAAAAAAAAAAAAGCTCTAAAATATGATTATCATAATTATCTTAAAGTCAAGTCATAAAGGTAGCCATAGCTATAACTGATAAAAGGCATTAAATATTTGAATATAAAGACAGACTTAAATATAAAGAAACCATATTTTACTTAGATTACAAAATTTGTCAGCCTCTTATAATAAAATCACTAATGATTATTTATATCTTAATAACAAGCACATTTAACTAGCTAAATATACTTTTTACTATTGATTAAGGTGCTTAAGAGTGTTCATTATTATTTAATATAATTTGACTTTAAAGTTAACTCATTTCACGTAATAATATAGTATACAGAAATGTGATTTTGAATATTAGTCTAAATTAAACTTAATTCAAGCCAAAATCGAAATAATGCTTATAGTAAAAAAAATTATTTTAAAATGTGACTTTATTAAGGGAAATTTTATATAAACATTATATCAATAGTTAATAAAAAAATGTGATAGTGACTATAAGGCGATTGTGCTTATATAAAGGTAAAAACAATATAAAAAAAGTTGGTAAAAATATAAATGTGATTATATTGATTTTGTGACTATAGAGGAGGTGACTATAGAGGGGTCTGACTGTATACATATTATGTAATTGATAAATTATTTCAAAAATTAAAACTATTTTCCTTAGAACTGGTCAGGATTTTTCATGCACTCTTGTATAATTATTTTTGTCATTATCAATTTTTCTGAATATGGGAATCTCCATAGCAAAAAGAGGCATTAGGCTATTTTAAATTTCAGTCTTTAAATGAGTATATCTTTTATATCATTCAATTCACCTCAATGAGGTGAATAAAAAATATTTAATTCTAATTACTAGATCACAAGATATACTCATTTAAAGACTGAAATTTAAAATAGCCTAATGCCTCTTTTTGCTGTAGGGGTCCTCATATACAGAACCAAATCTTCCTCTGCAAATTTCTGTAATATTAGATAATCTATCCACTCAATCACATGCTCATATTTAAAAGTTCCAAGTTAAATTTCTCTGTAAACTTGGATTTAGAGTCCACTTTTAAAATTTTACAGATCCAGCCAATATCGGATTATTTGACGTGATCCGGAGCTTAAATTTTGAACCGGGTACAATCTCTACCCTAGACGTCCCCCTTTTATGGTTTTTTGTAAAATCTAGTTTGTTCACGTGACGAAACTTTTAATCGAAAAAACTGTTATCTGTTTCGTTTTTAAAATGCAAAAATTTCCTTTGCGTTACAGAAGTTGGTAGAACACAAAGTTTAATATAAAATTTGTGTCACACTACTTTTAAATAGAAAATAACCCAACCAATCAAAACTTCTGGGTTAAATATCTGATATTCTATTTAGATGTCAGTGATACGTATAACGTTAAAAAAATCAATCTAAAATGCCAGTACATAATAAGAGAGCGAGAAAATGCTCAGCTTATGCTTCGATAGAAACCATGAGTATCTCCGCCTTGAGGAAGAAAATACGTGACAGTGAGCGAACTCTGAGAATGGTTGTGTATTTAAGGCTTTACGTTTGTTTCGTCCTTTGCAAATTCTTTTTATGTAGTTATTAAACTACTTCCTTAAAGAAAAAGATACATTCAGCTAAAGGCCAAGTAAGCTTAGAGCGTCAACTCAAAGCTTTGAAATTAATGCTTACTGAGAGAACCATAGAGTCAAAAGAGAAGAAAATGATTTCCAAATACCGAATGGTTAAACATTTTGGTACCACTTATTGTTAATGTTTTACTACTTGATCCGTGTTGAGAAATTTCTCCAATACTTTTTTTTTATTTTCTTGCTATATAGACAGAAAGAAAGTTGAACGTGCAATAAAAAAGGCAGAAAAGCAGGTTACAGAGGCGCAGACTCCGCAAGAGAAAGAACGTTTCAAACAGGAATTATATGAATTACAGATAGATTATAATTATATAATGGTATATAGACATTTCTACTTCACGTGTAATTATATGTTGATTATTGATTATTATGTGCAGTATTTTCCAAAGGGTCGTAAATATATGGCACTTTATCCCAAGGCAGACGCTGATGATCCTAAAATGATCTCTAGGAGAAACGAAATTAGGGAACTTATCAGAGAAGCAATGGAAAATAATGATTTGGATTCCTTAAATAAACGCTTTAGGGAGGAAACTAAAGTGAAAATTATCAAAAGTGAGGAAAATAATCAACGGTTGAAAAAGAGACAAGAAAAAAAACAAGGTAAATAACTTTGATATTTAATAACATTATGATTGTAAAATTTGTAAGATACTAAATGATTATTAAAATTTTTATAATTCACTCAGATAATGATGCAAATAAGATTATTAATGATAATTTTTTTGGCTCGGATTATGATGATGAGTAGTGTGAAATATATTAATCTCAGGTAGATTTTAATTAGGATAGCTCAATTGTGTAACTCATGGATAAATTAATTTGTTCTTTAAATTTATTTATTTTATATTCATTGGATTTCTTGCTGTATAGGTAACCATTATTGATCAAAGTAGTGCTGTCTATAGTGCAAGAAATCCATTTATTTATTTAAAGTACAGATTTTTCCACTCTTTTATATTTTTGTACCCTGCATTGATGATCGGCGATTTATAGGTTGAATAAAGCATAGGATTAGAAATATAAAAAAAGAACATAGAAAATATATACATACAAATTTTGACATTAACGAAAGAAAATTGTCTTTTAATGGCAAATTATTATTCACATTCCTTATTATGAATGCTGAATAAATTAAATCTTTCGAAGAATAATTATTAAAGAAACTGGCAATCTCTAATTAACAGCATAGTTTTTGCTGTTTGTTTCGTTCCTTGCCAGACAATTTTATTTACAAAATCAGTAAGATCCATGATTTATTACACTTTCTTGGACATAGCAATATTTATAAAAAAATAAATTCAGTAATTTGAAATATTCGGTTGATGATCCAAACTGGCTTAAATTTTCTAATCGATTAATTAGACCAATTTTCGTAAAATTAGTTGCTATGAGCATATCGATAAATTTGATATTTACATCATTAATAATCTACACTAGCCATTGCTAATTAAATTATCAATTCCCACATATGCATGCATATGGCTCCATCAAGCAACGCTCGAAGGAGCTCCGTTTACATCTCCATCTACAATTCTTACATTTATAAACTTTTCTACCACCGATATTTTGTATTTTACCACACTATAAGCATGTTTTAGAAGTGTAGGCCTTGTCTTGAATTACTATTCTCAGATCGGTTTCTTCAGCTTTGTGTTTTAGCTTTTGTATAAACATGTAATGTGACAGGACCCCGAAATATCTACAGATGGGTAATATTTTACAAAAATTACTATAAATAGAAGAATCTGCAGAAAAAAAACCAAAAATAAGCAAACTAAAACCCTATTTATATATAGATATTTCGGGGTTCTAATGTGACCAGGTTAATATACTTCTTATAACCTTGGATTTGATCTTGTTTTTTCTCTTTTTACGTACTATATTTTTTATAATAATTTCTGAAATTATAATTATATTATCTCTTAATCTGTAAACTATTTCTAGGCAAATTTGCCTAGAAAATTTGTGTAATACTGCTATGATCTATATTTTTATAAAATTAAAATAGAAAAAATATAGTTTATACTAGGAGTTATTGATAACCTCTTTCTTGTTTTATAGTTTTTTAACAAAATTTAAAGTTTGGATGCAGTTTAATACTGAAATAGAGGTTAGATATAATGGTTCAATATTTAGGTTACATAAGGTTTTAAAGGGTTCTAAACACTTTTACTTAACTTATCTGATCTCATTTCTTAATTAATTTATTAAGATATAGTATTCTAAATATTAATAACTTTTAGTATAAATTATAAATATTTATTAAAATATTTAAACAAAAATTTTTTTAATAATATTTGAAAATAAGGATTATATAATTATAGTATTTATTTTTATTTTATAAAAAAAAAAATATAAGTTGTTTATATACTAAAGTTATATAACTTTTAAAAAATTTTTTATTCAAAAAATTTTATTACTTATTTTTAACAAACTTATTAATTATTAGCAATTTGCTTTTTTTAAAATTAGAATTATATAGAATTTATCAATAAAAACAACTTTTATTATTATAATTTTTGTGATTTAATTATAAAAATTTAAACTTGTTTTAGAGTTAAAAAATTTTTTTAGCTTTAGAAACATAAAATTTTAAAAAATTTGAAAAAAAGGTCTGATGATCTTAGTGTAGTGGTTAGGTTGTCAAACTGCCATGCAAGAAGTCTAGAGTTCAAATCTCACTGTCTACAGAATTGAATAATTACCTAGACATCTGTATTCAACTTATAGTAAAACTCTGCTCATTTCTGGAGTTGTAACCCTATAAATCACATTACACTAATGCCAATTAGGATATTAGAAGTGTAATGAGGTATTTAGCAAGATGTAATATTATATGAATAAATCTTGATAAAATCTACGAGCAGAGGACCTGCATGGTAGAAATCCTAAGTTAGATAAAGTAGTATGAATTTTAATAGTTATACTGGTTTACACCTGATCTAGTGAAAGGAATCTGTAGCTAAAAGATACGACTGAGCAGATACAAGTAAGTCTGTCATATAAGATCGTATAGCAATACCAACCTAACTTAGCAGCTAACTGAATTGGAAAAATCTGTTTCATGAAATATCCGAAAATATCAAGAACTAATCTAATGGAAGGTCATAGTAGGAACTAGGTTTGTACAAACATCGAACAAAAGTATATGCAAGCTAAATTAGGATATAGCATAGTATAGTTGAGTACTACAGCATCTATTGATTAGAAAGTTGGTAAAGAGGTATCTGAAATAGGCCTAAGCTTCAAATTATAAAGTTTGTGAACTCATGTCAGCTCTGTTGATATCTTCTAAGAATGGAAGTAGTATGGAGTTAGATGAATTTAAGTAATAAATGATAGCAGAATAGAAATAACATATAGCTAGAGAGTTTAAATAAGGAATTTTCAAATAAATTTCAGGTATAGCAGCTAGTGTAAAACCTTCACGTAGACTACTTAAATTAGACAATCAAAAGTTGTATGTATGGCTAGTTGTACTCTTATATATATAATCATTACTTAAAACTATCTATATCAATAAAAATCTCACCGATAGCATGTTTATAAAAAAAATAAAAAATAAAAAAAAAATTTGAAAAAAAATTAAATATAAACTTTTTTTTTATTTTTAAGGTAGCTTATATTGCTATGCAGATTTTTTTTATTTTTTTTTATTTTTAAGGTAGCTTATATTGCTAGGTGATTTTTATTAGTTTGATATATAAGATTACATATGAGTAATTTTTATAGTTTGTAATTATATAAAGAGTATACAACAAGCTACATGTACAACTTTAGTCATTATCTAATTTAAGTAGTTTGCTACATAGGTGATAGACTACCTGCTTAGTTCTATACTATGCTACTATATCTGTAACCTACATGTAAGTTATCTATTTAAACACTCTGTTTAACTAACTCATACTATTTATCAGCAAAATATATAAACAAAATCTTACAAAAGATATTATGTTCTGAAATTTTTCGAAAAAATTACGATCAATGTGAAATATTTCGAAATTTTTTATTTCAAATATTTTGAAAAAATTTTCGAAATATTCAAAAACAATTTCAAATATTTTTGAAATATTTCAAATAAATATAGAATAAATAATAAATTTTTGAAAATATTTTTTTTAGAAAAGAAAGTAATTTTAGAAAATATCTATAAACTATCGAATAAATTTTGAAAAATTTTCACAAAATATCAAAATAATTTGCAATATTTTAAATAATTTGCAATATTTTAAATAATTTGCAATATTTTGAAATAATTCACAATATTGTAATATAATGCGAATTATTAAGAATTATTTTGAAATATTATGATTTATTTTGAAATATTACGAATTATTATGAAAAATTACGAATTATTGTGAATTATTTTGAAATATTGCAATTTATTTTGAAATAATTCAAAATATTTAATATGAAAATTTAAAATATTTTATATTTCAAATTATAACAAAATTATAGATATAGGATTATATCAAAAATATTTGAAAATATTTGAAAATATTTGAAAATTTTTGAAATTTTTATAAATATTATAAATATTGAAATTAACTATTATTTATTTAACTAAATAACTAAAATAGAATAAATAAATTCTATATTTTATTAAAAACTTTATTTATTATCATTAAATATAAAAAAAGTAAAATATTAATAATTCTTTATTTAAAAATATATAAAAAACAAAAGACAAAAAAGCATAGCATGATTTGATAAAAAAAAAAAAAAGAATAAAACAAAAAAGAAGAACAAAACAAAAAAGTTTTATGCATCCTTTTCCAATTCATATTTCTCATCTTCAGAATATTCTTGCTCATCTTCAGAAATTTCTGATATTTATAGAAAGATTTAAATTAGCTTATTTTATTTTTAATTATATTTTTATATTTAGATTTTATTCACCTTCTCTTTGCCTTTTACTTGTCTAAAAAAATTTATAAATATTAATCAAATTCAACTTTTAAATAATAATTTAAAATATTGCATACATGTTCAGAATACTTCGAAATAATTTTACGTTTTCTAACTTTTTTCTAATAATAATTTATAATATTAAATAAATATAATTGCTAATATAATGAAATAAATATTTATACTTTATTGTTATTTTCAAAATTAATTTCTTCAGATTTATCACTATCTTCAGAGCTAAATTTTTCTTTGAAACTTGATGTAGAATTAGAAAATGTACTACCTTTTTCTAAAATTCTCTAATTTTCACAATATTGCATTATATTAAATATTATTTTAAAAATTAATAATAATAAAAAAAATTAATAATAATAATATATAAAAATTAATAATAATAAAAAAAATTAATCATTTTACTCAACATACTCAATCTGCTGATCACCTAAACTAACACAGAGCAAAGACTTCGTTATATAAAATAATTTATAAAACTTAAGAAAACTCTGTAAAATTTTAGTATTGAATAGAAGTACGAGTTTCATAGCCCAATAAGTTCTACAAGGCAATAAGAGGCAGAAAGACCTAGCAGGTGATAATATTAAAATTTTAGCTAAAAGTTTACTTTATAGAATATTCAAATCAAGAAGTAGAGACGTGGAAAGAAGTTGAGAAAAAGAAGAAGTTTAAATCAACAGTATTCTGTACAGGGATATATACTACACCTCTCATTTACTCTGTAGATAGTTTTTGTAGCAACTCTACTAGATTCTTTAACCAACACAAATGAATGCATTTTTTGTAGCTTTTCACTAAGAAAAAGTAGAGAATTAGCTTACTTCC